TATGATCTAAAAATGTTGAAATCCATAAATGACTGGTCCTAAGTATTCCGAACTGAAGAGATGACAGTTTATTTCCTTCATGAAATCAGTATTAGGAGTCATTTGAATTCTTTTCTAACAAGTAAAAATATTCTACTTGAAAGGGATTTATTGTGGACTGGATCTGAAACTCATGTTTAAGAACAAAACTGACTACAGATTTTGTATTTACTTATCTGTGCTCCATGGTTCATACAGTACACAGCTACTTCTGAGGCTCCTATTTCTGGTCCTTCTTTTCAAAAAGGCATTGTCACGAGATGATCGACTTTGAGTAGAATATCTCCACCTTTCTTTCCAAAGGTAACACCATCTCTTTTTCTCTGCTCTTATGAAATTTATTAACCTGGATTGGGTTCTGTGTTTACTGAATTATTTCTTCTGTTCCAACTAAATAAACATTGAGAAAGGCACCAGAAAAGATGGGAAGCAAATTACATTTTTTTTTATTCAGGACAAAACTTGAGTTACAGTCTATTGACATCATTTGTTTAGCTTCAAAAAATTAGTTAGTTTAATAAAAACAAAATATTTTAATCACTATTATACAACAAACAAAAGTATTTTTCAAGCTGGCAATGATTCATTCAATAACAAAATAATCAAGTTCTCAAAGCTCTTTGCCATTTTTAATACTGTTTCTTAACCAGTTTCTCCATGACTATACATCTCCAAACCTCTCTAGTATGATTATTACTTCTAACTCCTTTACTACAGTACCTCATTCAAACTGGCAAATATCAAATTGTTTTCATGAACCTCTCCCTTAGTTGTGGAGGAGTCCCTCTTCTGCAGCCGTGGAACAATCCCTCTTCCGCAGCTACATTGGCCCCATCCCCCACCTCTTCCTCCATTACATCGATGACTGTATCGGCGCCGCCTCATGCTCCCACGAGGAGCTCGAACAGTTCATCCACTTCACTAACACCTTCCACCCCAACCTTAAGTTCACCTGGACCATCTCCGATACCTCTCTCTCCTTCCTGGACCTCTCTGTCTCCATCCCTGGTAACCACCTGGAAACTGACATCTAATTCAAGCCCACCAACTCCCACAGATACCTAGAATACACTTCCTCTCACCCACCTTCCTGCAAGAATGCGATCCCCTATTCCTAATTCCTCCGTCTCCACCGCATCTGCTCCCAAGATGAAGCGTTCCACGCTCGGACATCCCAGATCCCAGCCCTCGACCACATCTCTTGTGTTTCCCGCACCTCAGCCCTCACACCCCCTCCCCGCAATAAAAACAAAGACAGAATTCCTATTGTCCTCACGTATCACCCCATTAACCTCCGGATTCAATGCATCATTCTCTGCCACTTCCGCCATCTGCAATCTGACCCCACTATGAAGGATATATTTCCCTTCCCACCCTTATCTACCTTCTGGAGGGACCGCTCTCTCCGCAACTCCCTCATCCGCTCCACACTCCCCACTAGCCCCACCACCCCTAGCACCTTTCCCTGCAACCGCAGGAAGTACTACACCTCACCCCTACACTTCCATCCCAGGCCCCAAGAAAACCTTCCGCATTAAACAGATGTTCACCTGCACATCCGCTAATGTGGTCTATTGTGTCTGCTGTTTCCGATGTGGCCTCCTCTACATCAGGGAGACCAAGTTGAGGCTTGGAGACCATGTCGGTTTGCGACAAATGACAACACCTCCCAGTTGTGAACCACTTCAACACCTCCTCCCACTCCCTGGAAGACATGTCCATCCTGGGCCTCCTCCAGTGTCACAATGATGCCACCCGGAAACTGGAGGAACAGCACCTCATATTCCGCCTTGGAACCCTACAACCCAATGGTCTCAATGTTGACTTTACGAGCTTCAAAATCTCCCCATCCCCGACCTCATCCCAAGACCAGACCCCACCTCCTTGACCTGTCCGTCTTCTCTTCCACCTATCCGCTCCTCCCACCTCACTGACCAACCCCCACCCCCACTTCCTACCTACACTCACCCCTACTAACTTCATTCCCGTCTCCTTGACCTGTCTGTCTTCCCTCCCACCTACCCGCCCCTCCCTCCTCACTGACCAACCCCCATCCCCACTCTCTACCTACACTCACCTGTTCTGGCTTCATTCTCGCCTCCTTGAGCTGTCTGTCTTCTCTCCACCTATTTGCTCCACTATCCAACTTCTATTACCACCTCCTCCTCTCTCTATTTATTTCAGAACCTCCTTCCCCTCCCCCATTTCTGAAGAAGGGTCCAGACCCAAAACGTCAGCTTTCCTGCTCCTCTGATGCTGCCTGTCCTGCTGTTTTTATCCAGCTCCACTCCTTGCTATCTCAGACTCCAGCATCGGCAGTTCCTACTATCCATTATTTGACTGTTGCATCATAGTCCACTCACAAACAAGCAAGGTATGAGTCTACAGCTTGTGCCTGGAATAAAGCTTAATATGTTGAGCAAAGGTTCAATGTTTACTTGCCCAAAAACATACTGAAGACTTCTATTTAGCACATTTTAGATAAAATTTTCAATTTCGGTCACAGTTAGAGTTTATCTAATTTCCAGTGCAGATGCTGAAATATTAAATCTGCCCATTAATGTGGAATCTGGTGTTAAATACCTTGAGAATTACCTGCAGCAGAAGTGGTGGAAAAATATTGTTTCTGTTTCTTCAATCCCTTTTAGAGAAGATTACATTTACCTTATTTCTGGAGATGTACATGGTCCAGAGCAGTCATTTCATCATCACTACTACAACAGTTTGCACTAAGTGTGGTCAGCAAATAGTCAGTTAACTTTGTTCAATGTGAAATTCGGCAGAGAGTTCTATTCTAACTCACTTCCAGGAATTCACTTTCAGTATTTTCCTATGCCAAACCAAAAAAGTTGACCATTTCAGCAATTGAAAGAATGGATCTCACCATTTTCATAAATGGCTAAAAGAAAACTTGAGCAATTATGACAAAACATTCGCTAGTCATGTAGGAGCATTATAATTTGCAGTTATATTGTACCTTTAACATGGAAGAATGTAAAATGGTGCAATAACAAGACCATTAGGAAAAAAAGATGCAGATCCAAAGGGTTAAGAAGGATAGCCAAATGTTTTAAATGAGGACCTTAAAGAGAGAAAGGAGGCAGTGGCAGAAGTATTTAAAGAATGTTGAATCTAGCTGTTTAAGTCATTGCATCAAAGATGTGGAGAATGAAACGGGAATTTACCCAAGGCTGGAGTTGAGAAGAATGAGTGAGATTGGACTACTCCAACAGGAAGTTGAAAAGATGGGAGAAATGGTGTTAATCTGAGGGTAATCATTTTATATTTCAAGTTTTGTGGTACTGGAATCCATAAGACCACAAGACATAAGGTCCATCAAGTCAACTCCAACATTCAATGAGATTACTGCTGATCTAATCATCCTGAATCCCTCTTTCCTACCTTGATCCCTCGATTCCCTTAGTGATTAGAAATCAGAGTACCTCAGCTTTGAATATACTTAAATGACCTAGTCTTAACAGCCCTCTGTGGTGAAGAATTTTACAGATTCAGGGAGAAAAGTTCATCCTTATCTTTGCCCTAAATGTACTCCCTTGTACTCGGGGAGAGTTGGTTGGATTAGAGTAATACATCTGTGTATATTTGTTTGGGAAAAGAATACAGCAGCAACATTTTAGATAAGCTTCAGTTTATGGCGCGTGAAGAGTGATAAGGATAACATTGTATAATAGAGGAGGAGAGACACATTTGATTGTTTTAATTAGTGCTTACTGGATGGATAATGAAATGGAGGCTGAAGAGGGTATTTTTCTGATGGAGAGGATATGGTGTCAGATATGTATTGGGATTAAATTGGGACACCATGCTTTCAAAACTGAAAAAAAAGCCTATACTCGTACAAAGTCGATGGATGTAGTCAGTGATGATGGAATGGGGATTATCTTTTCTGTTCTGAACCTCTCCTCTAGCAATATCCCTGAAGTCTAGCAATTTATGCATCAAAGAAGGGAGCAGATGAAGCATACCTCAGTTAATATGTTTAACTAGGGGCTGTCTCTGCTGTGAATTATGTATAACAGTCATCAGGAGTTTTACGCAATCAAATACTCACACGCATGCTTCTGTACAAAAGTGCAATTGCAAACTTCACATTGGTTAAGCTAAATTATTACATCTACTTGTCATGCATCCAATTTCTACACAGATTAAATGTAGACACCAACTCACACAATTCTGAGGACTTCCCTCACATATCTCAATTTCATAACTTAAAGCTTTGATCCAGATTACCTTGAGTGGATCTACTTAGCTGTGAATCCCTAAAACATTCACAACCAATAAATTGCTCCTGAACTCCTGTAAGTTGAACAGCAGTTGTTTTAAAACCATGAGTTGCTTTGTGTCATATACAATTCTGCATTGGATTGCAAATTGCATGTCTGAGTGCAAATTGTATACCATATTTTGCATAGCACCAATGGAAGTAGTTTTACAGCACTGACAACTGATCACTTCATACACTTAATCTGCAATTGTTTGCATGCAAATGTTAGTCTGACAAACAAAAGTAAGAAGAAATTAAATAAAATTGCTGTCACCTCTCCAAAGATGCACTTGAACAGATAAATGAACTGAGACAGTTGTACTTGTATGGTTCGTGAAATTTTTAAAAATATCAAAGCGAATGCTCTATTATCTGAACACAAATAGTGGTAATACTAATGGTTGCTACTAATAATAACAGAACCAAGGTGAGTTGCTCATTCACTCACCAGAGAGATATATCGGTAATAAAAAAGGAACACAGGTGGAACCACCAGAGATGAGATACAAAGGTCTTCGGAGCTCTTATTTCATGGATCCACTCATACTGATGTAGACCAAGATTGTTATTTTTCAACAATCTACAATTAATTCAATCTTATCATTTATAATGTGTTTATCATTTATAATTATCTTATTTTGTGTTTAATTTATCATAAAATAACCATCAAACTATATGAGAAGATAATAAAACTTTTATAAAATTTCTAGTTTCAAACACTGCAATGAGAATGTTCAAAATAAGCTGTCAAGCAATTACTTGCACACTTGACTCAGTCACGAGTAGCTAAATAGGGAACAGAAAGCTGGCATTGGCATTTGAGACAGGTATTGATGCTTTGAAACTGGCTACTCATGCATTGGCATTAGCAACTGATACAAATGCTGTCAATTTACAATTAATGACCAGTAATCAATACCTGTGTGTCTGGTATTGGCACAAACCTTAATAGTTATCGTTCAAAATCTAGTAGTGACCCAGGTTTCAAACTGAATAGTAATTTTAATTGTTTGAAATTTGCTCCAGTTATTTTTTCTATTAGTCATCCTCACTTTTGCCTGTTACTACAGACTGAAAATGGCAATTATGAACCAACCCTCATACAGTGTACCTTCAGAAGAACAGTTTTCATTTACTATTCAGATTTATTGGGTTGGATATTCATATGGTGGCAGGAAAATGCAGAAGGGTTCCTGGTTAGAGATTTGCAATCAACAGAAGAACACATTTCCTAAAGGTCCTTCTGAAATTAATGTATAATCTGATAATTACTTTCCATCTTCATTTCTTGGCCACAGCCAGCAAGGTTGAGAGACTGGCGACCTAGCAGGCAAGTGGGCCATCAGCACCATCCTGAAGAAAGGCCAAAGGAAGATAAGGGAGGCCAGGAATTGTGAGAGGAAGATTAGAGTGGAGAACCTGGGAAAGTTTGAGGGTTGAAACTCCTTCTCATTGCCTCTTCTGCTGAGTTATGAAGTATAAACAAATTACCTTCATAGTTCACAAAGAGTATATAAAATAAAGAGGAAAGTTCATTCTTTAAAAACACAGACTTTGTTGATGCAAAACACATGAAATCATTTTTTGCTCCATTCAAATCTTCAGTCTTCATTGAAGTTGGGATTATAAACAGTGGTGGTTGCCTTCTGAAACAATGGATTGTCAGCCTAGTAGGAACACACATCATAGCAAAAAAAAATTAATTTTTGAAATGTGGCTTAATTAATATTAAATAGATTTCAAGTACAGGAACAAGCCATTTAACCCAACCATATACTGCATTCAATGTCTATTATCTGACCCAGGAAAATAATTTGAGGAGCCAAGACAAAGCTAACCGGGCAATTTCGTCCACCCCTGTCTCAAATGAATCAATAAAGACGCTAGATATGGAAAAGTTGTTCCATCCACCCTTCCTTCCATTTTGGACCAATCTGACTCACTTCCAGTTGATCATGTTGACCTATTTTGCTTTCAAAACTCGGAATTTCCTACGGAATCTAATAGATAGTTGTACAATATTCTACATATATCTATCCAGCCCTCACTTTAAAGTCTACGTTCTGTCAGAACATCATCATCAATAGCAAGTTGAGTTTAAAATTTGAATGTCTTGTGGCGCAACCTTCTCTTGTGCCGCATCATTCTGTGAATTCATGATTTTATGATGCCTCTTGCCTGAATGAATAGAAATTCAACCAATGGGATTTTAATGAGTTTTGATTCACAGTTTCAATTGCCCAGGGCTCATTTCCAGTGCACCAGGTGAATTCCTGAACTCGCACTGCTGCTCATCAGCCAACATTAGCATGGAGTTCACATCAAAGCCCTGAGGATGGGCTGACTCGATTAAAAGTGAACTGAAACTTTGGAATTTTAGTCTGAAAAATACAGCTGTCTTCACAGCAATGGAGGAATGGGAGAAGAAGATGCAGCCTCTTGTGCCTTTCCTGTCATTCAAAGGATCACGACTGATTTTAACTCCAACAAGCCCCCAGGTTCCATATCCTTGTTCAGCAAAAGTACATTGATCTGTTTTGTAATTATTAATTAAGTATCAATTGTTTTTTTGTTGGCAGAGAGCTCCACATTTCTACCATTCTTTATTTGCTGAAGTCTTTACTAACTTTTCTTTCGAATTTTAAAATTTTACGTATACATGCACACAACAATCAACAACACAGAAAAAACTGAAATTCTCAATCATCTGTATTTTAGGGAGTGCAAGCCTAGTTTATGCAATCTCTCCTAATTATCTAAAACTAGAAGCCTTTGCTTACATTCTGGTGAGTCTGTGCTATACACCTTCAAAGGCCATTTTATTCCAATTTAAGGTATGGTGCTCAGAAGTGTACACTGCACTCCAGGTACATTGAAATTACCGATGCAGCTGCAATAAAAGCTGCTCTTCTTTTTTTATCTTCTAGTCTTCCAGTTAAAACGTTGAAAATTTCATGAGCCTCTTAGATTTTTTTCTGGACCTGATGACTACATTTTAGTACGTGGACCCTGAAATCTCATAGATCCTTCCCTGTTTAAATACGGCACAGATTGAAACCTATCGGTCAAAAAATTGGAAAGATCACTCATACCTGCACTGTCATCTCTCTGTCTATATTAATATCTCTCTAATTTTATGCACTGGCTGCACTTATTACTGTTACACCAACTTTTATGTTATCAGCAAACTTGAATACATACTCTCTATTGTGTTGTCTAAAGTTAATAAATAATTTGAATAGCTGAGCTCTGAGCCCTGTTTTCCTTGTGGGACACAATCTGTCAATTCATTCCAATTTCAGCAAATACCAACTTCCACTGTTCTCTGTCTTCTACTGTTGAACTAATTTGTCCTTGATTCGATGAACTCTAAATTTAGTTAAAAGTCTCTTAGGTGGAGCCTGATTGAATGTTTTCAGAAAGTAAAACTGACAATCATAAAAATTACCCTGACTACTATTTTAGTTCCTACCACAAAAATGAGCTATTTTGTTAATCAGACATGATTCACCCTTTACAAATTCTTGTTGGTTCTCTGAAACTCAAAGTTATCCAAGTGTTCAGTCATTAAATATAGATTCAAATGACTTGCCCACAAGCAGTGTTAAACTAACAACTCTATTGTTTCCCTTTCTTATTTAATTAAACTATTTTCAACAATAAATATGGGCATAGAATTTGCACAAGCAGCATGGAACGCAATAGTCCAAACAGAGCAATGGCCCAATGAGCAAATATTGATCATACTGCTGCTTTGGAACCAATTGGGAATCACATCCAGTAAGGTGAAAGGTGCACTGTTGTTCAGAAGGGTCTTGTGGTGCAGTGGCAGTGTCCCTACCTTTGGACCAGAAGGCCCAGGTTGAAGTCTCACCTGCTTGAGGTGTGTCATTACATGTCTGAACAGGTTGATTGAAAAACATCACCATAGTGGCTCATTGGTAACAATCTTTCCTCTGAGCCAGAAAGCTGTGGGTTTACTTTTCCCCCTGAAGACTTCTAGATTGGCGCATTGGAGGTGCTGTGTTTTGCATTAGATGTTAAACCAAGGTGTTATCTGTCCCTCAGATGGATGTGTAAAGATCCCACAACAATATTCCAAAGAGAAGCAAGGGAGATCACTCCAGTGCCCTGGACAATAATTATGTCTCAAACAACACGACGAAAAATGGGCAATTAGGAACTGGCAATAAATGATGACCGGCAGCAACATCCACATTCCGCAAATGAGTGAAAAAAAGATGATTTGGTTATGAGAACATTGCTCTGTCAGGTGTAGCTTTGCAAAAACTGTCTTTCACTGTTGCTACAAGTGACTAGACTAGAACAGTAATTCAGTCTATAAATTATGATTGGACATCCTGCGGTCTTTCTTTTATTACATGAGTAAACAGTATTGTTTACATCTGTTAAATCTGTAGCGTATTTATAGTTCTTTTCAGACAAACCAAAAGTACTACAAACTAATTGCAGTTTTAAAAAGACTCTGTACTTATGTGGCTGCTTGAAGATGAGAAATGAGATAAGAAGAAAGGTTCATAGCATCATAGAATATTTACAGTGTATGAAGTTATTTGGATCTGTCTGCAACAGCACTTTACTTGATACCATTCTCTTGCCTTTCCCTCATAACCCTGTGCCCTATTCCTTTTAAAATAACAGTCTAACTCCTTTTTGAATGCATAGGTTGAACCTGCCTCTCTCACACACTCAGCCAGTGCATTCCGTAACTTTACTCAGTTTGTGATGTATCTTTTTTCTCACATTGCATTTGCTTCTTTTATCAGTTGCTTTATATCTGTGCTTTCATGTTCTATTCCCTTTGAGGAGTGAGAACAGCTTCTCCCTATCCACACTGTCCAGACCCATCATGATGTTGAATAGCTGTTTCAGATCTCCTCTCAGCCTTTCTTTCTCCAAGGAAAACTGTCCTAACTTCTCCAATCCATCTTCATAACTCTGGAACTATGCTTGAAAAATTTTTTGCACCCTCCCCAAAGCCTTCATATCCTTCCTAAATTGTTGTGCCCAGAAATGATTGGAATATTCCAGCTAAAGCCAAACTAGTTCCTAATACGGATTCAGCATCATCTCTTTGTCCTTCTAAGTTTCATATCATCCAAAAATGTTTAAATTTTCCCCCTTACACCAAGAATTCAGTCATTACTATATATCAGGAAAAGCAGGGGTCCTAACATTGACCTATGGAGAACTCTGCTCCAACCTTTCTCCTGCTGAACGACATCCATTAACCACTACTGTTTCCTGCCACACATCGATTTCCATATCCATGTTGCTTATTTTTTTTTAATTGGAGAGCTATAAATTTGCTGTCAGGTCTGTTGTATGGCACAGTACTTATTGCCAATCAATAGTCCATGTGCATCAACAGCATTGCCCTCATTGACACTCTGTTTACTCAAAAAACTTCAGCATCTCAGTTAAACACGAAGTTTCCTGAAGAAAGACATGCTGGCTTTCCTGAATTAAGCAACATTTACCCATGTGACTATTAATTCTATTCTAACATACTGTTTCTGAAAACTTTCCCACCACTGATTTTGAACTGACTGATATGTAATTGCTGGGTTAATCTTTACACCATTGACATTCGTAATTCTGCAGTTGTCTGGAAGTAGCATGACTAAACAAATATTCTTGTGCAAAACATTCATACTCAAGCAGTTGTTCATATGCGTTCCAGTGTCACATGAACAGAGATTTCCAATTTAAAAAATGAGACAGCCATTGGAGAAAAAAATATCACCTACAAATATAATGCATTAAAATGTGTGGAGACATTTAACAGGCAAAAGTCCAAATGTACTGTTGACATGGGATGGTTTCAATGGGAGACTGGTATTGCTGTTTAACAATGTATTGGTTTGTCAAAAAGTGCAAATAATCATTTCTACGTACTTCATTCCACTTTGATTTTGCTCGCTCCTTTTCAAATTTTTTATATTCTCTTCTGTCGTAGAGTTCAGTCACCAGTTTCCAGATTAGGAGAATTGCCAATCCAATCAAAAGCACACCAACCACTCCACCAGCAACAATAGCAATGACATTTGGAGGCTTAGGACATTCTGAAATTATGAAATCGAAATAGTGGTTCACAGATGCAAGTCAAATGATTGGAGCATCCTTGTGTATATGTCAATAGAATCTGTGATTGATCATATAACCATCCAAATGCAATTCTTACAAGTGCCTTCCCCAAGAATTCCATGAGTGTATTGGCGAAGAAAGTGAGCACTTTATAATTTCTGCAGTACCAGTGTTGGTTTCATAGAAAAAATCAAATGGTTACAGCAGTAAGTGACCATTCAACTGACTGTGCCTGTGCTGGCTCTCTGAAGAAGCAATTCACATCATGCAACTCCCAAGCCTTTCTCCTGTTCCCTGTGGAGTTTGTGTTGAAATGGGGTCTTTGACATTGAATTGTGTCATGTGTCAGCATGGAGGGCATGAGAGGTCATTGGTGTGAATTGGGGAACATGTGTTGGCGTGTATGGGCATGGGAATTAGGTGGAAGGAATTTGAAAGGGTGTAAAGGAGTGAGGGCTCGAGGTCCTAATGCTTAAGAAAACAAGTGGCCTCAAGTTGGACAGAACTGAGGCAGATCTTTAAATGCTTGGCAGCCATTGTTACTGTCTCTGGCCTGCAGCAGGCCAGGCACCAACCAACACCCACCAGGCCACAAAATGAACATCAAGCCATTCAGGGACTTTTTGCTGAGGCATAAATGTTGAGCCAGGTAATTTCCCGACTTGAGCTAGTCACCTCAGGAGTGAAAAACCCAATGAATGAGATGAAGAAAAGGTTAATAGTTTTGGTATTGCAACTGTGTTGATTCCATACTCAAATTTACGCATTTAGTGTTTCAAAGGCAATGTTGGGGAAAGCACAGGTTTATCTTTAAGTACTTATACCCATGCAGAGTATGGTTCACAATTGTCTTCCACTTCCATTATTGTTATTTGCTCAGATTGTATCAAAAGGAGCTTTAAAAGCAGAAATAATTCACCAGACTCAATGAACCTTGCATATTTGAGAAAACAAAATGAATTACTCACCAGGGTTTAACCTGGGACTATCCATTGTCATCGACCAGATGGATATATTCACTGATCCAATGGATATCAAGGTTCCCTCGTGGCCCAGTGAAATATTGGTTCAATAAAGAACAAAAACTGTAATAATGCTGTATTAAGCATATCTGTCTACTTGTACACTTCTGTTGCCTTTGATTTTTCAAGGAAGGACAATTACACAAACCTGTTTGCTTCTTGATAAGCACATGATACTGTGAAACCCCATCTAACTCCTTCATCACAAAATTCATCCAGCAGTTCTTGGAGTCTTTCTCTTTACATGCATTCTCTTCTTCCAGTTCTTCCTTTAACTCATGTTTTATATTGACACATGCAAAAGAGCAGTTTTCCTTGAATGGGCCACTCGAAAATCCAAGACACTCAATGCAATGTCTGTCTCAAATAAAATGAGAAGTGCTACAGTCACAAACCTTACTCTCATTACTCCATTACAGTCTAAGATAGGTCACTGATCTGTGCCTGCTCTCTCTCTCTCTTTTTAAAGTATTTTAAATATAAGCAAATGAATTTTATGAGTTTCATTATATTTGCTGAGCCCAAAATATCATAGCAGCAAGGCCTTAATAGGGTAGGAAAATCCACAAGTGTGGAACTGTAAAGTTGCAATTTATCATAGTGTCAATTCCTCTCTATCAATAAGAAATACTTTTTGAGGAATGAGCCATTCGTTCAACTGCACAGAAACAGCCTCCTATTTTCCACCTTTTTAAACGAGTTTATTTCTGCTACCCACATGTTATTGTGAACAAATCCCACCTATCACTCTGTACTTACTTATTCACATTGGATAACAGTCCAGCCATGCCTCAATTTTATAATACTATCTTTACTTTCAAATGTATGCATGGCCTTATATCTTTCTTACCTCTGTGTTCCCCTACATGTCCAGTTCTAGCTCTTGAGCAGCCCTGATTAAATTGATGGTCACGTGCCAAGCTCTGCAGTTTCCTCCATCAACTGCTTTGCATGTTGCGTTCTCTCTTCTCCTTTAAAGACACTCCTTAAAACTGACCTCTTTGACCTCTCCCAATGCCCCCTTTAAATATGAAACAAGAGGAGGCCATTTGGCCCCTTAAGCACATTGTTCAATAAAATTAAGGCTTACCTGGTTGTGGCGTCAATTCCACTTTTCCACTTCATAACCCTTGACTCCCTTATGGATAAAATATCTATCTAGCCCTCATATATAATCAATGACCCAGCCTCTGCTGCACTTTGTAGAAGAGAATTCCAAAGATTAATGGCCAACTGAGAGTAGAAATTCCTCTCCATCTCTGTCTTAAATTAGAGACTCCTTTTTTTGAACCAAGATTCTCTTCCCAGTTTGAGAATAACAGTGAATGCAGGAGAAATCGGAGCAGGGAAACTCCCAGCCTATGAAGATGGGAAGGCCTATTGGATCTTGTGGCAAACAGACAGCCTACTGGAATTAGGATGCAGCATGAGGAATTCACCAAAAGCTGTCAGCAAATTAGAGACTAGTGACTCCATAACTTGATAGAGGCTACGGCTACTTTTAGGACATGATGATCCAGACTCCCGGGATGGGGAACAGCCACAACAAGTTGTGAACGGCCATATCTTTTCCCAAGGTCCATTGGCAGAATTGGGCAGAGATTAGTTGAGTAGACTTGACGTATTAAGATTTTCTAAATATCTTGCTACTACATCCTTAATAATGAATTCCAGCATTTTCCCGAAGACAAATGTTCAACAGAAGTTGCTGGAAAAGCTCAGCAGGTCTGGCAGCATGTGTAGGCTGAGCTTTTCCAGCTCCTTCTATTTTTGTTCCTGATTTACAGCATCTGCGATTCTTTCCGTTTTTATTCAAATAATAACCTACTTAGCCTATCGTTTCCTGCTTACAGTCTCCCTTCTTTCTTTCTTAGAGAAGTGACATTTGGAGTTTTTAACTCACAAGAAACTTCATAGATTCAAAGTATTCTGGAAGATTAAAAGAACATTTGGAAGATGACAATCTATGTATCCACTATTTTTCCACCACATTCTTTTAAGGCATGGGCCATCAAGTCCAGTTTATATGTTTGTAGAATACTTACTGTCTTGTTTTCATGTTTCTTCCTAGTTTACTCTCAGTCTAATTTCTCTCTTCTTCGGTTATCCTTTGCTGGTTTCTAAAATTTTCCTAATTTTCTCGAATACTGCTAATCTTGACCTCATAATAGACCATTTATTTCAATTTGACAACATCTTTAACTTCCTTAGCCATGGATGATGCAACCTTCTCCTTTGTTAATGATATATATATTTTATTCAGAGTTTTGAAACATCTCATGAATTCTGCCACTCTTTATTTGCTGCCTTCCCCTATAACCTATTTTACCAATTCACCAAGATTAAGGTTGCTCACCCTCAAACTGAATGGTGAAATTTGATTGTTTTATGACCTCTCTTGCCAGAGGATCCCTCACAATAAAATCATGAATTAGTCCTGTCTCAGTACACATTGCCGAGTCCAACAGTTCTTTCGAACAATATGTTCTGGAACCAACCCAGAAAGCAACAATTTATAAATCACACAGAAGGTAGATCAGATAAGAATGGCAGATTTCCCTCCCTAAAGGGCAACAGTGTACTAAATGAGCTTTTAACAACAATCAGTGACAGCTAGTGGCACCATTATTGAGACGACCTTTATAATTGAGATTTATTAATTGAGTTCAAATTTCTGTCATGCAGCTATCATCGTGGGAATTGAACCCATGCCCCTGAGCATTTGCCTTGGTCGATCATTATTGAATGATATCACCTCTGCACCACCATCTCACTGCCTCCATTATTTCTTGATTTATACTCTGTTCCATTACTTGCCAATTGTTCAAGGGCTTTTCAATACTCCCACAAATGACTTCCTTTCCTTGCTATTTTTTAGCTGTATCTGAATGATATCCAATCTTGTTCCTCTGAACAAAGATCATTTCTTACTGTTATACTGATCTCATGATTTATTACCATACTTCTCATTGTTTCTTCCTGTTCTATCAGTTACACCCTGTGACATGCTTCGAATGTTTTATTGCATTAAAGAAGTGTCTTTTTTTAATTGCAAATAAAGCAAAGGACTATGGATGCTAGAGATCAGAAATAAAAATGATACAGAAGCTCAGCAGATCTGGCATGTGGAGAGAGAAATTAATCTTCTGGAAATTGAAGGGGGCAGGGAAAGTGTTTGTTTTACGCTGGAGAAAAAGGGGTAAGGAGGAACAAGTGAAAATGTTTGAGAATGCGACTTAGAGCAAAAGGCAAAAGGAGTAATTGTTAAGAGCAGAAATTAGGTCAGCTCTATCCACAAATCCATGCAAAAAAGATACAGAGTTGGTGGGGGTGTAATCAAAATGAAGGATTGAGTTCATGGTTTGAAAATGTTGAACTCAATGCTGAACTCTCAAGGCTGAAAGTGCAGTGGTAATATGTAAAGAGTCAGATTTAAAATTGCTCCTTCTGCTTGTGTTCAGCTTTGCTAGATTATCACAAGCAGACCTAGGATAGAAATGTTAGCATGAGAGCAAGATGCTGCATTAAAAAGGCAAGCAACAAGCGGTTCATGGTCATTCTTGTGACCAGAACAGTGCTGTTCCACAAAGCAGTCACCCAGTCTGCATTTGGCCTCATCAATGTAAAGGAGACCATGTTGTGAGCAGTGAATACATCAGACTAGATTGAAAGAAGGTATGTGTGGGGTCTTGGCTAGTGAGAAAGGAGGTAAAAGGGTAAGTGTTACACTACTTACAATTGTGTGCAATGATGCCAATGGGGATGAAAAGGTGTTTGGAGTGGCCCAATGTGGTGCAGATGGAACAGGCCATCGGGAACGCTAACAAGGGAGAGGAAGATCAATTTGGTTATGGCATTTTGTTGAAAGTGGCAGAAATGGCAGAGGATGATCCTTTGAATGCAGAGTCTGGTGGGGTGACAAGTGAGGATAAGGAGAACCCTATCGTTGTTCTGGGAGGGAGGAGAAGGAGTGAGAATAGAATTGTGGGAAATGGCTAAAGGCCCTGTCAGCTACAGTGGGAATATCCTTGGCTGAGGAAAAAGAAAAACATGTTGGGAGCATCCCAGGAGAAGAGGGTATCAACAAAATAGATACAGTTGTAACAGAGAAACTGGGAACATGGAATGGAGTCCTTACAGGAAGCAGGATGTGAAAAGTGTAGTCGAGGTAACTATGGGGTTTAGAAGATTGTGGTGGGTCTTGGAAATGGAAACTGTAAAGTCAAGGAAGGGGAGAGAAGAGTCAAAGATGGACCAGATGAAGGTGAGAGAAAGATCGAAGTTGGAAGTAAAACTGATTAAATTTCCCAATTCTAACTGACAGCAAGAGGCAGCACCAACGGCATCATCAGTGTATTGGAGAAAGAGATGCAGGAGAAAGTGCAAAGAAATTAGACCAGTTTTTCATCCAGTTGATTCAGCATCAATATTGATGGCTAGAGACAGTTTGAGAGTTTGTCACGTACTGAAGATTTATACGATAACCACATTGAACTATCTTCAGCAAGTTTCAATTAATTTAGGTATGAAATGATAAAACCACATCTTGCCAAAATAGAGGCAGATGAGTCAAACACATTTTCATTTGAAATTTGCAAAATAATTTCAAAGTTATCCCAATTAGTGATACACAGCAGGATTTCATGCCTTGAATTAAAAATTTAATCAGCTGTTAGGAATTTCTTCTCCAGTAAACATGTTTGTATTGCTCTCCACTTTAAAAAAGGTTTAAAACAGAAATGTTCTGAGTGCACCAAGACTGACTGATCAACATTTCTAAACAAAAGATAAGCAAACTCCTCACTTTCCAAAAAGGGTTCCAACCCGAAAGATTAACGTTTTGTTTCAAATCTGCAATAAAGTGACACAATTTTTCAGGATTTTTTTTAACTGTCGAACATTTGCAGAAGTGGTGAATCTTTTTTTCTCAGAAATTCTCCAGATATGAGATTTAAAGCAGGTTAAATTGTAGCTTCTTGTTTTAGAAATTTGGCAAAACCTCAGTCAAAATCTTAAGGATCAGCAACTGCCGACCCAATTTTTTTTCCCTTCACCTTCCCTTCATGCTGTAGGCTGTACGTTTAAAATAATCTTTGGTTTCTCACAGGCCATGTCTTCACTGACACATTCAGTCGAATACTTACACATAGGTGGGGCATGGAGATGGACAGCCAGGGCATTCTTTGCAGAATAGGGGCTGATAACCGGCAATACATTTACACTGGTTACATGTGCAATTTCCTCTTCCACTGCAAGTAGTACTGTTTCTGGTCTCCTTGCATTGCTCATCAGCATTTGCACACTCGCACGCAGTTCCTCCAAAGCCTTTGTCACAGAGACATTTACCACAATCACATTGACCATGACCTGAAGGATAAAGTAAGAGACAAAAACGAATAAGTTACTGGTTGGTGCCTTTTCAGCCTCCTCTGCAACTGTATTAATTTATTATGACAGCATGTTCTTTTCCACATGGCACAAGCACCAGCACTAGCAGCAAACATAATCCACAAAGTACCAGTAATTGCACCATCACATGCCGATGATGCTCCAGGGAAAATCACTGTTTCCAAACAGTCCCTGCATTGTCTGTCAGCCAAATACAAAATCGCACTAATTTTTAGTGAAAGACACATTCTCTGTGCATCAGTGACCCCTGTTCAGCAGGCCTGACAGAGAAAAGGAAGAGAAGGCCTGATTCATATAGTGATGCATGTTAACACCACAAAAAAGATTTAAATGTTTTTGTATTATTGTAAAAAAAATTGATACATCAGTGAATTAGACGTTAAGAGACTTGCCCCTCGTCCGAAAATGTAGAAATATAAAAATGCAGAGCCATTGAAGAATAAAACCAAAGGTTCATTAAAATAAGAAACTAAGATATAAATCTAAGAGAATACCCACCAGCACACAGTTTACCCAGGTTTCGCTCACAGTTCTGGTCATCACACTGACAGTACTGGCCATATATTTTCTTATTGGGGTTAGTATGGCAAATACAAGCACCACATACACAGTCTCCCTGGTTACTGCAGGTTGCTGAGGAGTTGTCCTTACGGCAAGCTGCATCCAGATCTTGAGTGGAACGCTGACCAGGATCACACTCACAGAACTTGCCAATTCGATCTTCTGTGCAGCTAGGAGAAACAGAAATCAGGCTCAATTCTCCCAAAGAGATGTCTAATCGGCAAAGTGCAAGCTTCACAATAAAGTTAAGAAAAGTAAAAGCCGTTCAAGCCCTCACACCTGTCCCTTCATTCCCTACGTAACAGAAGTGACAAGGCTTCGAAAGCAAAATACTGCAGACGCTGAAATAACAACAAAAAAAAATGCTGGAAATATTTGTGAGCCATGCATATCTTGAGAGAAATCATTTCAGGTAGAGTAGACTTTTCCTCAGAAATGAAGAAAGGTAGAAATGTAATTGGTTTTGAGTCAGAGGAAGTACAAAAGAGAAAATATATGATAGAAAAGATGAAATAACAAAACATGGTGCGAAAGCCTTCAAGAAAGTTACAGTTAATGAATGTAATAAAGACACAAAACTTGTTCCAAATGAGGTGTGGATGTATAGATAGCAGCTATCTGAACACATCATGAAGAGATAAAGAAAGAAATAAAAGACGGACCCAGCAAATAAAAAAATAAAGAACAAGATGGAAGCAAAGATTATGATCTAAAGTTGGTGACCTCCAAAGGGATTCTGCAAATACATTTAAGGGTGGTGTCATTGTGACACTGGAGGAGGCCCAGGATAGACATGTCACCCAGGGAATGGAAGGAGGAACTAAAATGGTTTGCAACCGGAAGGTGTTGTCGTTTGTCATGAACTAAGCGCAGATGCTCTACAAAGCAGCCTCCGGGCCTCCGCTTGGTCTGCTGATGTAGAGGAGGCCACATTGGGAGCAGCGGATGCAATAGACCATATTGACGGATGCGCAGGTGAGCCTCTGCCTGATGTTTGAAAGGCGTTTGGTATGCTTGCCTTTATTGGTCAATGCATTGAGCATAGGAGTTGGGAGATCATGTTATGGCTGAAAAGGACATTGGTTAGGCCACTATTGGAATACTATGTGCACTTCTGGTCTCCCTGCTTAAGGAAGGATGTTGTGAAACTTGAAAGGGTTCAGAAAAGATTGACAAGCATGTTGCCAGGGTTGCAGGGTTTAAGCTACAGGGAGAGGCTGAATAGACTGGGGCTATTTTCCCTGGAGCTTTGGAGGCTGTGGAAGACCTTATAGAGGTTTATAAAATCATGAGAGGCCTGGATAGCATGAATAGCCAAAGTCTTTTCCCAGGGGTGGGGGAGTCCAAAACCGGAGGGCATAGGTTTATAGTGAGAGGGGAAAGATTGAAAAGGGACCTGAGAGGCAACATTCTCATGCAGTGGGTGGTGTGTTTATGGACTAAGCTGCCAGAGGAAGTGATGGAGGTGGGTACAATTAGAACATTTAAGAGGCACCTGGATGGGTATATGAATAGAGGGTTATGGGCTAAATGCTGGCAAATGAGTCTACATTTATTGAGGATATCTGGTCGACATGGATGTGTTGGACCGAAGGATCTGTTTCGGTGCTATACATCTCTAAGACTCTAACCCAGTGTTGAGTCAAAAAGTTGTACAGTACCAAGTCAAATGATGAGGTGCTATTACTCAAGCTAATGTTAAGTTTTATTGGAACACCGTAGCTAAACGTTGACACAAAGGTCAGAGTGGAAGCATTGGGGAAAATTAAAATGACAAGTGACTGGAAGCTCAGGGTCACTGTCGATCAAATGGAGATATTTTCCACAGCTGCCAATGTAATATTTGAAGGGAACATGGATTGAAAGATGGTGCCTGATCTTAGGATAAACTTCATTATTCATTTTGGTCTTGCATTTAAGCAGACAGATGGATAGCAACGAAAGACAATAAATGCCACCCAGCCAGTGGGGATCCACATCCGAAGAGTGAATAAAAAGTAAACTATGCCACCATCAAGATGGGCAGGGAGACGGCGGGGGGCGGCTGGGGGTGGTGTGGCGGGGGGAGCTTAGGTTTTAAAAGCTTTGATTTTTAGGAAGAAGACTTAGAACTTACAGTTTTGGAATTCTGAGGGGAAAATGCAAGAAAGAAGACTGTGCAACAACATTATCACAGAAAGGATGTGGAAAGAAGGAAAACGTCAGTCGATGTATTTTGAATTTCGAGTGAGATTCAGAGGAACAATAACCATGGCAGTACAATGGAATGAGAAAAGAAAGTTTGCAAAGAGAGAGATTGCAGTCATGAAATGAGAGAGACTTTGAGACAGCAAACATTTGCTTGCTCTGAGTTTATCACAAGTTGAAAGGAAAGGAAGTGCTCCTCAAAAGAGTTGAAACAGACTTAAGGAGTTTGGATAGTATTAGCTTACCTGCATACACCACACTTGATTTGACCCTTATTGTTGCAATAAACAGACAAGTCAGGTTTGTCGTCACATTTACAGTTGCACCGCATTTGCAGTGAAATTTCCAACTTCTCAGTGAAGCCCAAAGGTCGAATCTCGAAGGACTGTTTATTGGTCAGGCATTTGTGTGCAGTAACTGTAATTGTGAAACTTATCTGAAAAAAAAAACACACAATGCTGTTGTCAAATGATATAAAGTTTTTTTTTCCTATATTACATTCCTTCCATGCAATAATCCATAGATAATTGGCAAAACCCGTCACTGCATCTCCATAGCATGCCAGTTAAATAACTCTCCCCCATCCAGTAAGTTGGCTATCTCTGTGTTTCATTCCACACTGTTTGCTTGTTCATTGTAGCTTGTTTTCTCTTCTGAATGAAGAGCACAATTTTTAAGAACCAGTATCGCTGTCCTGTCAATGAACAGGGACTGCCAAGATCAGTTCATCGCCAGCCTTATAACACTCCATGGAATGGTGGTCCAGGCCACTGCTGGGACTGGACCTAGATCCATGAGTTGAAGTGACAAAGGGCAAAGCAAATTATTGGGTGGCGTGGTCACACAAGGTGAATGGGGCAGTTGAGGGGAGGGGAGTGGCTGGTAGTGGAACAGTGAGTTGGGTGGAGGCTATATGGAAGGTTCATGCAGTGGGGTTGCTCTGATGAGGAAAATGGACCAGTGTTAGAGGTGTTCATCTTTTCCACCAGAGTTCTAGCTGACTTACGTGCTGGGCCTCCTACCTTTGCTGATTGGACGTATTTTTAAATAGACAATAATTGGCCACTTAAGGGCCTCAACTGGGTAATACCAGGCAGGTTTCCCTTCACAACCCTCTCACCAAATAAAGTTCCTCCCCTAATCAGGAGTGGACAGGTTGGCGGTGGAAAGACCACCATGTTGAATTTTCCAAGCTTCCCTCCCCTGCAGTAGCCAGGTTAGGGACATAATATGCTGCCCTATTTTGGCTTCGACATCGAGAATTTCGTTTTCTAGTGGTATAATTCAATGTGATCTTACAAAGGTCTGATCACTGCTATGGAGAGCAGTCTATCAGTATTTTATACAATTATTGTGTAATTCTTCAGCCTCAGTGTCAACTGAGGACATTAATTACAGATTCCTTCAATAGCCATGTGGATAGAGACCCCAGCCAGAGACTACTAGCCCCCAGAATGTATGAGCTATTTGGTTGTGTTTACAGTCTCGCATTGAATTGATGATCTGTGTTGCATTGCCTTTTCCAATCTGGAATTTAATTGGCCTCGAGCTGTGTACCTATGCATCTTAGAAGCCACCTTGAGAATCTCAACATGAACTCACCTCCTTATTAATCTTCACATTTGAACAAGTTCCCTCTTTTTCACTCGTGATATCTCCATCACTACAATGTGATGTATAAGAGATGTGGACTCCATCTGGCAGGGTTTTGTGTGCTAATATCACTGTGGAAGATAGATTCTGAAAAGAAAGAAATTAATCGATAAACTGTGAATATTGCAGGAAGGCCAATTGACACAATCCACCAGTTTATCAATGCACTCATGAGCAGTCTATTAGAATATTGGTACTCTCCCATCATTTTCCCAAAAGCAAGCGAAACTAAAATGGATTGAATACATTCTTGAGTAGCACCTACATTATAGGCAGCTGTTATCAGCTGAACCACATTACTGGAATCCGCGTTCAGTTCACCTACTGCAGATTTTGGAATCATTTCACTCAGCTCCTGGAATGAAACAGAAAAAGCTGATCTTTATTCCTTCATTAGTGTCACAACATGACTTATGAACAAAAGTTCAACAATAACAGGAGCAGTGATGCTTCAGGTGGGAAGCTGAAGTATTAAATCTGACACGTGTGCTTTGAATAGCATTTGAAGAAAGTAAAATCCCATTAGTCACTCAGATCCGCTCTGTGAAATTCAATCTTTCACTAACTACTGTTTAGGACAAACTCCTGGGAGTTGTACGGACTGTAAGTTCAGGAACTTGGCTCATCATTGTCCTGGCCCCATCGCTAATACTGGGTGCTTTTACAAGCTGCTGATCACAGTTACATAGGGCTGGATTTAACACAGCTCACCATGCAGGAACCATGGTGTCTGGGCCCAATTAATCAGGGGAGAGGTCCCACGTCAGTCTCCAACAGCAGGAGAACGTCCCCTGATATAATCAAGGGCTTGAAAGGGCTGTTATAGAGTCATAGAGTCATACACATGGAAGCAGACGCTTCGGTTCAAACTAAGCTAGTCCCACCTGCCTGCGCTTAGCCCAAAAATCACCAGATCTTTCCTATTCATGTACTTATCTAAACATCTTTTAAAAGTTATAAATTATAGCTGCATCCACTATTTCCTCTGGAAGTTCATTCAACACATGAACCACTGTCTCTGTAAAAAAAAATTGCCTCTCATTGTCTTTTTCAAATCTTTCTCCTCTCACCTTATGCCCCCTCGTCTTGAAATCCCCCACCCTAGGGAAAGGACACCTGCCATTCACCTCATCTATACAGCTCATTATTTTATAAACCTCTATAAGATCACTTCTCACTCTCCCACGCTCCACTGAAGGAAGTCCCAGCCTATGCAGCTGCTTTGGGATTCCCAGCCGGCAGAGGCGGAGTTTATTGGGCTAAAGCAGCCTCCTGAAATGGTGGTGATGGGGGAGGGGGGCACTATCAGGCACTCTTGTGCCCAATCAAAGGATCTGGAACAGGAAACATTGCTGAAAGCCAACCCATGGCCTTGCCTCCACCTCCACCCTTCCCTAGTGATCCCCAACCCATCCTCACTCATCTCTGATGTGAAATTCCACAACGACATGTATCTCTGGTGGATGCATTGCTACAGTTTGCCATGGCAAATGATAACTGGTGGATAAGGAGCTGCTGGCTTCTGATTGGCCAACTGTTGTTGGTGGGCAGGTTTTCTGCAGCTGGGTCCTCAAAGGCAGGAGAGGCCTGGCAGTGGCCACTTAAGTGTCTGATGAATACTTGATTTGGTTGGGCTTCCATCATGGAACTGAAAGGCGTTGCCTGATGGCTGTGTGACTAATGTGTAAGACCCTATATCTCCAAAAAATACAGTCCAGAAAGTGTACAGCACAGAAGCAGACAATGTGCTCCTTTTGTTGTATGCTGATGTTTAGGTTCGACACAAACCGTTTTCATTCTCTTTATCTAACCCTGTCAACATATCCCTTTATTCTCCTTCAATATATTTATCTGGCTTCCCCTTAAATGCATCTCTGCTATTCACTATGTAGTGTGTAGGATGACTGAATTGACTTTAAATTTCTTCTGTACACATGTAAATACCCTCAAAAAGATCAAACTAACTTTTCCCCTGGAATATTACACATTTAAGTGTAAAGCACAATGTTAATGAGATAATGTCAGACAAAAGCATGATAATGAACTTTAACAAGAAGCCAATGTAGTTTTGGATATGAACTGGGTTGAAGAATTAATTTCAAATTAGAATGTCCAAACGTATTTTGTTCATATCTGTCATCGGATTTTGTGTACTGAAAGTATAACTTAAAGCACGGCAAAATGAGTTAGTTTTCAAAGAATTGTGATGACCTGGCAAAGGATATCAGATCTAGTCATGTTCTGAGTGAAATGATTAAATGCATTATGTGATATTGTAAGTACAATACCATGACAGTCATATTGTGCTTGTAAACTCAGAGCATCTGTGCCTTTAAAATCCCATGTTAACGTACCATGTTTCTGACATTTGTTTTGATCGCTATCTTGTGATCGGAAACAATATAAGTTAAATAGATGGCAATACTTTCTTATGTCCTGTTCAGTTTTTGATATTCCTATCATTTGATTAATCAGGATTTAATTATTGTTAATTAAATAAACTAACACAGAACAATTTAAAACAGGTTAATTTCAGTTGTGTGTTGCATTCTAAGCAAACAACGTTTGATGCCACCTTTACTGCTTACTGTTGGGATCATTTATTTGGGACTTATAAGGACATAATCAGACAAAGTGGAATGCTGGTTCTAATTGCAAGAAAATGGTTTGTGGAAAACAACCACTTGTCTAAATAACATAGTATGTCATGTTGGACTGATACTCTTGACGTTTTCTCCCAGATTTCTAGGGCAAGGAAAAATTCCAGAGCCTCCCCTTCTTCGAAATGCTATGCTGCTTCAGCTCACATCAGAGGTAAAGATGAAGAGTGAAAATTGTGTATAATTTAAAAATATTGCTTCATGTTTTTCTCATCTAAACTTCTGCAAATGACCTGCTGGCCAATTGGCATTATTTTATGAATGACGGACAGAGTTATTGTTTGGCATGTCATCACACTTCTGTGAAATGACAAAGGCAAAGTCTCCATATTCTCAGAGGATCATGGGACTGGTCTCTCATCAGACAAGGACGACTGGTGGTGGTTTAATCTGAGCATCACCACGCCTTAGCCAAGGGGAGAGGTTGAGAAGGAGAGTCCTTCATAGTAACCTCAGCCAGTGTGGGAATTGAACCCATGCTGTTGGCATCACTCTGTGTTGCAAACCAGCCATCCAGCCACCTGAACTAACCAACCCCATATGAAATGGTATCATTTAGTGCATAGCTGGATAGTCCTGTGAATGGGTAATTGGCTGATTTTTTGACTAGTTTCTGGCACATGAGCCTTATTTTGAGAATAGCTGTCAAACAAGTTGACATTAGCCATAAATAATTACCCGGTATACTGGCATTATTTTTCCCGTGACTGCAAAAATGGGTTGAATGTTATTTTCAGCCAACTTCAAAGCTAACTCGGCAACAGAGGGATAGTCCTGGGAAAGAGACGACAGAGAAAAAAAAATGTTACATCAAATAAGGACAAATTAACATAATTCCTCCAGCATTCACCTGAGCGATTCTGTTATCTGAATAAATCATGGATCTTTTCACTGTTACCAAATGAAGCCACACTGAAATAGCTTTTCAACTTGCCATTCAGCTATAAAACCAATATTGGGGAACATCAGATTTTCATCACCATCAATTTCTGGTTCAAAATTTAACCCATCTATTTCAGGACCATCTGACAAAGATGCTGTTGCTGCACCAGACACTGACTAACTGATTCATAGCTCAACACTACTGTCCATCACTCCGGCTATCTTGAACCATATGTGGGCAACAGATATACTGCCAGAAGCACTGTTTCCTTCCCTGTCTAATGGACAGAAGTGTAAAATCAAGGCAATGAAAATTCAACACCAACAATCCTATCAGCAACATCAATTTCTTCATTGGTGAAAAAAATGCTTTAAAGTCAATGATACATCCTCCCGACAAGAACATATTCATATCTGATTTTTAAAGTTTCAGCTCCATTGGGATCAGAAATAGAAAGGCTTTTGCTGCGATGATGGAAATAAGGCATTGTTTTCCTTAACATGCTGCCTCCGTTTAGCATCGAGTGAATCTTTATCCTATTTTCTCAAGTTTGTGGCTGGAGCAGCAGCTGCAGTGTTTTATTGATTGTCCACCATCAGCAGCCTTTTTCTGTTTTTGTTCCCATATTTTGACTCAAAAGCCATTGTGTGGACATAACTGCATTTACTCCTGGTTCCAATCTAACTTCTAACCATAACCAGCAAACCACATGGCTTCTCTTCTTGCTCCCATACCATCATCTCTGCTATTCCCTAAGGATTGACACTTGGTCCCTCCTAGTTCTAATCTAAATGCTGTCCCTCAGCAACATCATCTGAAGGCACAATGTTAGTTTTCAAATGGATGTCGATGACCCAGCTCTACCTCAGAACCACTTCCCTTGCCTCCACCATTCTTTCTAAGTTATCAATCTCTTTCCTGACACCAAGCACTGGATGAGCAGAATTTTAATCCATATAATTGTTGGGAAGAGTGAAGCCATTGTTTCCAATGCTTGCTCCAAATTCCGTTTTGTAGCTACCAACTCCAACTCACATTTTGGCTCTGAGATTAAGTCAGTCTTTTCATAACTTTGGCGTGATACTTGGTCTTGAGATTTGTGACATTGCTAAAATGACCCATTTGCATTTCTAAAACACTGCCTGCCTTCTGGCCTGTCTTAGTTCATCCGCTGCTGAAACTCTCAGCCATGCCCTTGGTGCTCGCTTGAGCCTTGTTTATTCCAATACACTATTGACTGGTCTCAAAGGCATTAGCCCCTGTAAACTTAAAGTCATCCAAAAATCCAGTTCCTGGGACTTAACTCAAAACAACATCTGTTCTCCTATTACTCCTGTGTTTGTTGACCTATACTAGCTGTCAGTTAAGCAACATTTTGAGTTTAAAATTCTCATCCTTGTTTTCAAATCCTTCCATGGTCTCAACCCTCCCTACTCTATAATATCACCCTCTACCCCACAATCCATATCTTGCTAACTCTAGCCTCCCAATGCAGGCTATGTCTTCAATTGCTTAGGTCCTAAGGCCTGTACTACATATTTCTAGCTCACTTTGCCTTGATAAGACACTCCTTCAAACCTAACTCTTTGATCAAGCTTTTCATGTCATTGACCTCACCTGGTTCTCTTGCTATGGCCCAGTGGCATATGTTATTTTAGACTGCTTTTGTTTAATGTGAAATCCTTCCACCATCTGTGTATTTCTCGTATCTAGCGTTACTCAAGCAGTGGAGGGGATCATTATGAAATTGAAAAGACCACATTAATTATATGGATATGTACACAGCCAAGCGGTAGGTCTAGAAAACATGCAGTTCTTTAACTGGAACCAATGTTTATTCCGCAGTGCTGTGGGATCAAAGTTATTTTTGCTCCTCACCCTGTTTTACCCCTGCCCCCACCCATAATTTGAGTGTGCAAAGCATCTCCGGTGAAAGTACAAACAAAAGCCAGACAACAGCTTGCTGATGAACCCTCCCTCTCAAAAGATCCATGTGGTACAAAGCAAAAAGAAACACACGCAACACAGATATTGCTCTGCTGTCAATCTGGTAAGTTTTTTCCAAGAGCAGACCATTTATGCCATACTGCTGTTGAGTCAGGAGATTTTGCTTATAGAAGCAACGAATAGGAGAGTTATACTCACGTATTTAGTGTTATCTGCATAAAAGCCATCACTGTCAAGATGACATTTGCCATCATTAGGGGTCAGAATTGCTCCAAGTTTCCCATCTCCGGCAAAATGAAATCCATCATCTGAAGTGTATACAAGAAGGCGTGTGACGTTGCGCCATCCTATCTGGTCCTGTGGGAAGCAAAGTTACTAGTTTTAAGTAGCACATGAAATATATAAAGCTGTTACGTCGTCAAATTCTTTCGAAGATTTTAAAGTTCTGCTAAGTTATTTGTACATTTTCAGAATCAATGTTTCAAAGAGAGTTTTCTTCCAATGCACAACATTTAGCTCAAGCTGAGAAACAAATACAGAAAGAGTGGCCAGGGACACGGTAAGAGATGTTCCTTGTGTCAGTGTTTCAGTGATCAGATAGCCAGTGAAGTAATACATTCCCACTGACAAGTCCACTTGAATCAAACTCTCCTTCCTTTTTTCCAGTGGCGCACCCAAAGGCCTAAATAAATAACCTGCCAATATCTCACCCAAAAGTTGGTGGCACGGTGGCTTATCGGTTAGCACTGCTGCCTCACAGCGCCAGGGACCTGGGTTCGATCCCAGCCTCGGGCGACTGTCTGTGTGGAGTTTGCACATTCTCCCTGTGTCTGCTTGGGTTTGTTCTGGTTTGCTCTCACAGTCCAAAGATGTGCAGGTTTGGTGGATTGGCCATGGGAAATTGCCTGTAGCATTCAGGGATGTGTAGATGAGGTGGGTTATAGGGGGATGGGTCTGGGTGGGATGGTCCAAGGGTTGGTGTGGACTTGTTTGGTTGAAGGGCCTGTTTCCACACTGTAGGGATTCTATGATTCTAATCCAAAGATAAGTAGGTTGGCTGTGCTAGATTGCCCATAGTGTTCAGGATAGGTGGGTTAGCCATGGTTAATGCAGGGTATTAGCAGGGAGCTGTACCTGAGTAGGATGTTCTTCAGAATGTTGGTGCAGACTTGAAGGAATGAATGGGCACTTTCAGTAATTCCATGATTCTAATGTGACTGCAAAACAAGAACTGCATTTTCCACAGTTGAGCACTGGAGACAGGAGTCATCTATTAAGCCCAGATTCTGAAGAAGTCATACTGGACTCGAAATATTAGCTCTGTTTTTGTCCCCATTGATGTTGCCAGACCTGCTGATTTCTCTAGCAGTTTCTGTTTTTGGTTCAGATTTCCGGCATTTGCAGTATTTTGCTTTTAATCAAGCATTTCACGTCTGATAAAGGTGCCTCGGGAATTATTTTGAAGAGGGTCGTGTCCATGGTCCACCACGCATTCTAATTTGCACTTCGTATTTTTACAATATGTGCATCTTTGCACAGAAACAGTGGATGAAAGTTCTGATTACTATTAAAAGGTATATTGACATGGTTAATTTTTGTTTTGTCTTTCAAGCCAAGACTATGAAAGAAGCCAACATTGGAGTAATTATTTCAAGTGATAGAAAGGGATGGTTCAGTACTTTTGTTAGTGGTGTTGCCAATAAGAGGGACAGGGACAGTTGTGGGAAAACTGACTGGAAAGGCTGATGAATGCGGAAACTTGGGCACACTTTACCAGCCACTGAGTTCTAAGTCTGACAAAAACAAACTCACCACACACACTGCTGCCTGCATCATGGCATCCAGTCCGGCCTCTGGTGGATCCAGGTTTCCTGAAATAGATTGCTTCCCAACTTCAGAAGTGAATACATTTGAATCATTTGTTAACTTCAGGACATGCCGAAAATTAAAGGGACGCTGACACGCCTCAGTTTTAGTAGGACATGGATTTTTCATCTTCTCCGGATGCGTATTGACAAATGGTAGGACTGTCTTGTCCACAAAGGAACCAAATCCTGCAAGGAAATAAAAGTAGTTTGACTGATTTACTATTTGAATTGAGCTGGATAGTGATTGATTCCACGTGGGCAAGTAACTAGGAGCAATCACAGAATCTGGAATGCTGAAACTAGTTATTAAGAATTTTACAGATCAGAATAGGCCATTGGACTGCTCTGGGCTAAGCCAGTGAATTTGCTCCATACAATTGTCCTCCCATCACATTTGATTTAATCCTATCAACATATTCTTTGATTTCTTTCTCTGTTATATACTCACATAAAAACACAAGTAAATACAAACAGGATGAGACCATTTACCCCTTTGAACTTGCTCCACCAGCCAATAAGGTAATTTTTTTTCTTTATTCATTCAAGGGATGACGGCATTGCTGGCTAGGCAGCATTTATTGCCCATCCTTAAATGCCCAGAGGGCAGTGCAGAGTCAACCACATTGCTGTGGGTCTGGAGTCAAATGTAAGCCAAACCAGGTAAGGATGGCAGATTTCCTTCCCGAAAGGAAATTCCCTAAATTTGATGTGTTCTAAACTCCACTTTCCTACCTGTTCCCCAGAACCCTTGACTCACTTTTCAATCAAAAACCTTTCTAACTCAGCTTTGAATGTATTCAGTGACCCAGCCTTCAATGCTTTCTGTGGGAGAAAATACTCAACTCAAGCTACCCTCCAAGAGACAAAACTCCGCCTCATCGCTGCCTGAAATGGGAGAACCCTTACCTTGAAAATGTGCCCCCCCCCATTCTAGATTACTTGACAAGAGAAAACTTGTCCAGCTTCCTGACAAATGCATCTATGCTATTTACATCAAATACTCCCAGTGATAGCAAATTCCACATTCTCGTTACTATTCTGACAACTACCAATTGCTTTTGAACGCCTCAAGTGATTCTTTCTCAACCACACTCTCAGGCAGTGCATTCCAAAACCACTTGCTGCTAAAAAAAAAGTTTTTCATTGTGCTGCTGCTGCTTTTACCAAACAACATGATTCTGGTTCCTCTGGTTTTCCATCCTACTACCACCAGGAATATTTTATTCCCTTTCTACTTTCTCTCGACCTCTCATGATTCTGAATTTCTCCTCAAATCGCCTCTTGATCTCCTCAGCTAAGAACAACTTGTTTCTTCAATCTATCTATGTAACTCATGCTTCTCATTCTTAGAACCATTCTCATGCATTTTTTTTCACCCTTTCTAATGTCTTCATAACATGTTGAGTCCAGAACTGGACCCAGTATTCCAGATGAAGACAATTAACTAAGCGCTTTGCACAGATTTATTGTGACTTCCCAGCTTTTGTATTCCATGTCACCTCTTTAAAAAATGCAAGATCGCATAGCCTTTGTTATCCACTTTCTCAACCTGTTCGTAACCTGAACACATATAGCACCAGGTACCTCAGCTTCTACGCTCATTTAGAATCATATTATTTAATAATCATAGGCTGTCATTTAACTATATTTTATTTTCAAGCCACTTGTTTGTTTTCTTGAAGTATTGAGTAATGTTTCACATAAAAGTTATGTTTTTATTCAGGGATGTTTGAGTCCATTGTTCCTACCTTTCTTAATACTAAATACGGATCTCCTTTCTAAATACAGGAGAAAGGACACTTTTTATGTGTCGAGAAGCTGATCTTGCCTGTGCTATATTTCAAGGTCAAAATGTCAGTGTACATTCAAGAAACACAGTATATCAGTATACCTTTAAGTAACGTCCTCATGACATCATCACTGTATCATAGCACGTGTCCTAAGGGTATAAAGATCTTATACTCTCTTATCTCAGTTCACTTGAAACATGACACTCTACTTTAAGTACATTCTTCTCTTGAACTTAAAATTCACCAAGACAATTATGTGTCCAAGAGATGTCATGTTGCTACATAATAGTTAATTGTAATAATTTCAGTTAGATTCCTCAGTACCATGATATCCCAGGCCCAGTGTCTTATATTACGGTAACTAACAGAAGTATTACAGTATCAGTTAAAATACCCTACTGGATACAAACTCACACCATTAATAACCCTTTAAAAAAAGGTCTCAATGGACATTTGCTCTCCTTCACAATTGCAGCTCTCCCCAATCCCTCACAGAATAAAACACAACACATCCCTTCTACAACAAACTATCTGACTGCATCTAGATTATGAGAAACAATGTCCAGATTTTGAAGTTATGTGATTGTACAAGCTGCGGGTCTTGTTGATCCACAAGAAGCAATATGGAAAACGGTTGGCTCACCAATTTTGCTGGACTTTGTGATACTCGTCAGTGCTTCCAGAAGCTTTCCTCCCAGGCTCTTCACATTCTCCAGATCATCTTTCATGGAGTAGGACAGGTCCATGAGGTAGTATAAGTCCACAGGGTAACCTTCAGCACGCTTAAACTTCACTTCGATTTTCTGTGGACTGCCTAAATTGCAAGACCACATGTTTATTAAGGAATCAGAAACAAATAACTGCAAATTAATAATTTCATTCCAACATTTTCCCTCCACTTCATGTCTGAAGTCTTTCATTTTATTTCAATACCATAGTCAAAAGAGCATATGAGTTATTTACTGATCATGATAAACTGAAGTCTACCCCACAGGGAAGATCAACTGCTCATCACCAAAAATATCCTCCTTGTGAGGTTAGAGCAAATTACTGCAGATGCTGGACGCTGCACTGAAAACAGAAAGTACTGGAGATCAGAACGGGTCAGGCAGCATCCATTGGAGAGAAAGCAAGCTCCCTGTTAGATTATCGGCAGCTTCTTTTTTGTCAGATGCTTTGCACCTCTGGAGTCAACTCTGTGTTAAGTGTCACATAAAGAGACAAACAGTAGGCTTTAAAGGTTCGTGATTCACTAACCTTCCGTTTGCCTGGGCTTTTTTCTTGGCCACTTGAGCTTTCTGTTTCTGCTTGTCTCTTCCAGTGCCCTTCCAAACAATCAGCCTCCAGAAGCCATCAGCACTTGGAGCCTGTAGTCGTGGCCGAGTGGTTAGGGTGTTGGATTAGGAAATCCATTGGGTTTCCCCGCGCAGGTTTGTATCCTGCTGCCTACACCTCCCCAAGTCGCAGATTTTAAATGACTTCCTCAGGATGAGCTATCGCTCCCCCTAGCAAAAACCTCTCTAACAGTCCCTCATTTGGGGCGGCATGGTGACTCAGTGGTTAGTGCTGCCACCTCACAGCACCAGGGACCCAGGTTCAATTCCACCCTCGGGCAACTGTCTGTGTGGAGTTTGCACATTCTCCCTGTGGCTGTGTGGGTTTCCTCCAGGTGCTCCGGTTTCCTCCCACAGTCCAAAGACGTGCAGGCTAGGTGAATTGGCCATACTAAATTGCCCATAGTGTTCAGGGAAGTGTGGTTTAGGTGGGTTATAGGGGAATAGGTCTGGGTGGGATGCTCCGAGGGTTGGTGTGGACTTGTTGGGCCGAAGGGCCTGTTTCCACACTGTAGGGATTCTATGATTTGTCTCTCAGTTGTCTGTGCCGATGCTTGCCATCTTCATATCTCATTAGCTCATGTCCTTGCAACAGATGAATGGATGTCCAATAAGTTGTGACCCAGTGGCCGGACACCATTCAGAAATCTTTGGATTTGTGGCCATCATCTTTCTTTATTTGTCCATGGGATGTGGGCGCTTCTGGCTAGGCCAGTGTTTCTTTCCCATCTTTAATTACCTTTGAGAAGGTTGTGAGCCTCCTTCTTGAATTGCCTTAATTCTGAGGGCAGGGTTTCCTGGGCCGGGGGGGGGGGGGGGGCGGGGGTGGAGGTGGTGGGGAGCTTTGGGGCACTAAGTGGAGTCGCGAACTGAAATTTTGGTGTTTTGAACTCTGCTGCAGCAATGGCTGGTTCCTACTGCCTGTTGCCTTAGGTCTCCTACTCCACTCCGACACTACCTCCACCACTAAACAAGGGATCACAGCAGTTTTCAAGCTTCAAAATGGGGTAACAGCAGTGAAAAAGTTTCGGAAACACTGCTTTATGGTGTTGGCACACCCACAGAGCTATTAGAAAGGGAGATCCAGGAATTTGACACCGCAACAGTGAAAGAATGATGATATTGCATTGTACAAAGGTGTGATCCTGTCCAAGAACAACGGTGACTTGAGGTGATTGCAACAGCAATCAAAACATTCACATACTAAGGATTAAGAGAAAAACATTCGCTCATTTTGTGTTTGGCAGACTGCAGATCTTAGCTGAACACATCTATTCCAAATTACAGATTGGTTTTAAAAAGGAATATCTACAATTGACATGATGTTCTTAGTCCAGTAGTTTCATGAGAAATGCCATGAGCAAAGGAGACCACGAGATATTACATTCAATTATGTCATTGAAAGCTTTCAACCGTCTGAGCAGAGGAAGTCTATATAAGCTGCTGGAGAAAACTAGCATCCTGCTGATACTGTTCACTGTGACCTCCTCTTTCTGTGACACTGTGATGGGTAAGGTCAGCAATGATGTAACATCAAAGGCTTCGAGATTTCCATTGGGATCAAACAAGATTGTACTCTGGCACCAACACTCTGAAATATTCTTCTCTTCACTGCTGTTGTGTGCTTTCAGTTCATCAACATAGGGTGTCTTCTTGTATATCAGAACTAGTAAAGCTGATCATCCCCTCAAAAAGCTTCTATTTAATTTATGTATGAGCGGTTTGACCACTTCCCACAGGAATTTGCTGAGCTGGATTAAAAGCAGTTCTGATATAGCAAAGAGTTTCATAGCTATGTTCCAGACACTGATTTTTGAGGATCTAGAGGACATTAGTTAGTCTCTTATACTTCACTCCGTCTGAGAATAGACAGGCTTGAGAATTGTGTATGATCTATATGCAATGTAAGTATGATTAATTCATTATAGAAACCCTAGTAGCAGATTCATGTGTGCATAATGCCAGGAAAAGCTATTCTGATCAAAGATAATTATGATTATCCAGATTAAATAGGTGAATCCTTTACCCAGGCTGACTACAAGTATGCACATTAATTGAGGTTAATCTAATCAACACAACTGCCGACAGTGAATACGCTTAATAAAGGCGTCAAGAAGTATTATGTGCAATGAGACACAGCAAACCCAATTCAATGCAGAGAAGTCTGATGTAGGGCAAGCTGATACAAGAAAACACAAATATGCCTACAAAAGTTTAATTAAGTTCAGCTTGATCTGTTTTCCTTTTCTGCTTCCTCAGCAACATAACGCAAGGAATTCAAGTTACCTTGTAGAAAAGTATTGGTCCAATTTTTATTATATGTGTGTGAATGCATTCTGAGCAAATTAAAGTTTCACTCATTTTTACAAACAGTACAAAAAAGCTAGGAACTGAGAACCAGCCATTGTTCTCCACATTGTTTTTTTTGTATTCCTTAGTGTATCTCTTAGAAGTCACAGGATTATTGAGGAATACTGAATTGCTGTAGATTTCCTTGAACTGTTCAGCAGTGTGATTTTAATTACATACATATACATGACAAATATAAACATTTGATAACTGTAAGGACTGCGATGTACCAAGTATCTAGAGTATTTACCTCGTCGAAGAAAGAGTTTAACTTTCTGTGGTTTTATCTGTATCACATTAGTTGCAGAATTAACAAGTGGTTTGTTCATTTGAAATTCCATGTCGTTTTGTGGGTTGATAATTTCCATTTTTTGGCAACCTCTCTTCTCAAGGGATTTCACAGAATCACACCTTGCAGAATTTGGCTCTCCAGCCTTTGTGAAATTCTGGACAGGAAGTAAAATGGGAAAACAACAATAAAGTATAGATTTTTTCTACCTACTTTCGAATATTGGGAAGCAGTCCAACTGTATGTGCACAAGATGAAAAAGTAGGAAATTTGATAAAATGGTGCACACGTCTACCGTTCATTTTTTAATACAAGCAATAACTCAAACTGCTTTTGATTTTCATTTTTATTTTAACTTGGTGACCTTATACTGCAAACAGTCCAGCTCCATACTGTATGAAGGATTCTTACCTAATTCCTGGATTCCTTCTCATGATATTTTCCTTCTAAGCACAGTGGCCAAATCTCCCCCATGCAAGGAATAACGAGAAGGAATTTAAACTTAACAAATGCCCCCCTTAATGGGAATTATTCCTGTAAAATTGGTCTGAAGGAGTTCCATTGAAAAATATATGCAAACTTCCACAAAATGAATTTGTGATGGATCATCTAGGTGGAAATGGGGAATCCTAGAAACAAAGATATTATGAAGTTTTATTTGTCCAGAATTGACTCACACTCTGCAATATCATTGGACAGCTGTTTAGCTGCTAAATTCTCAACTAATGTGCTGTTAATGAGAAATCATCACCATTATTTACTTAGATTTCCCAGAATCAAAGCATCATGATTTTTGAAAAAAAAAGCAAAACTCAAAAATTTCTGAAATAGCTCTGGTTAGCAGTGAACAAACATAGCTTGATTTTTTGCACAGACACCTTCTGTGACTGCAGGACTTTGGTGACCAGTGTGTTGAGGATGAGCAATTGTGGATCTCCTTGACCAATTAGATCGAAAAGTCTTTACTGAGGTCCAGTCTGAACCAGGAAATGTCAATTGCAACAGTGATTCCAATGTAAAATCATGTACAGAAAGCAAAATAAGGAGACAGAAAGAAGGGAAGATTAAAGAGACACAAATAATTTTAAAATAAAATCTCCAACAATAGTGGAAAGAGGATAGAATGAGACTCCACAATTATAAAAGTGATGTTTTTCAGTGCCAGTGAAGTTGCTGCACCATAAAGGACTCCACCATTGGATTGGGTTCCCCAGACCGCCAATTCCATTGCTTTCTGGATTTGGTATGCGATTGATGTTGTCATTTTAGTCTAAACCCTGAGGACAGCTTCCGAAATATAGGGTTCTTGAAATTTTCACCGCTTATAACAATCTCAAAAGTTAATAATGTAATTACAGACCAGTCAATGATAACCATGAGAAGAATATGCTACCGCTTGCATAATCCAACATAACAGCTTGTATTCTTTGAAATTATTTACTTAATTACATGTATAATGCAACATATCACTGGGGTGGAATGTTGGAAATCAAGCCCCATTATTCCTCGCGTCATCACAGAAGTTAAAGATTTGAAGTCTGCAAAATTTCCTAATTTGCCTGTCTTTTAGACCCAGGTTGACTGAAAGCATGGGCCAGGTTTCTGTACTTACTTATTACAAATAAATAGATACTAGCTACAGAGAAACAACAATGAACCATTGTCATACAGTTCTACTCAACCTCTCCTATCAAACTTCCCCCGAAACATACATACAGACAGACAAAAAGCATTTGTGGTTTGGGTGGAGGGAAATACTGGGAAGGCAGTTCAATGGGTGTCTGTTCACATGGTTCACTGAGATGCTCCTTTTCACTTGCCTGGACTTGCTGCTCCTCGATCTGTCTTCTCGAGGTATTTTCACTAATTTTAGAATACATAGAGTGACGATGGAGTGTCTGACATATTGGGTTAAAATCAACAGTTTACAGCAACTGGTGAGGGAAAATAAATTGGCTTTCTTAAGGCTTAAGGTATTTTTTTTCCTACAAAGGCAATATCACTACCTCCCTGAGATAACAAGGTGTAGAGCTGGATGAACACAGCAGGCCTAGCAGCATCAGAGGAGCAGGAAGGCTGACGTTTCGGGCCTAGACGCTAACTTCTGAACGTACTATTCACATTCAAACTGGGATCCAGTCACACAGTTGTTGACAGGCAGAAGGTCTTTGTCATCAACAATGTCCACTAGCACACAACCAATCAACTACTTATTGCTGGCCAAATCTCACTTTGTACATACCCCTGGTGCTCGTTTGTCTGCAATTAAACTTCCCCATTGTTTGAACAAACAAGAGTGTAAACAGCACAAGGTTGCTTCTAAAAAGTGTAGTAATCCCTTTCACAGTCCTTGATTTTTAAAACAGATCTTTCCCTATTTGCACAATCAAAATAGAGAAAAACAAAAAGATATGGTCTTTACAATAGTTAGTCCTATCCTCCATCTCAGACGATTCCACTTTAAATTAGTGACCAATTCATCACTAGTATAGTCTATATAATTTTTAAAAGCCAGCTTCCTCATTTCTGACATAAGAAAACTAATCCCAAATATTCTGTTTCCTCGCTGATAAAGTATATCCAACTTTCAGATGTGGATACTGCACTAAACAATGAGAAACTGCACCATTTACCCCATTAGGCTTACCAGTGCCTTACACCAGGCGCAACCGGGTCCTAAATTGATGCATTCCTGGCAAGTTGATCCTGCGGAATTGCAGGTAGAATCTGAAAGATAAATTTAAAAATTCTCTGTTATTTCCAATTATATTTACAGAGGTGACTAGGAAAATTAGGTAACTGGCATTTCAAAGCTACATAGTCCCCTTAAATATGATTCTGCCGTAGACAATAATAATCAAAAGAACATTTGACACCTCTGCACTAACAATATCTGGCCTGGTGCATAGCCCTGACTGTGAAAAATTTCAAATTTTCTGGGGTCACAGCAAGTGATACCATAACAAGTATTGTCATGCGAGGACATGTGGGTTTATATGCAACACCCCTGCCTCTGAGTCAGAAGTTTTGGGTTGAAGAATCTCTTTCAGAACTTGTTGGCCACAGAAGGAACATTCATGATGTTGATCAAGAAGACTGATAATCAGCCCACTAATCCTTCCAATACTTCGTCATTATTCCCCAAAAGAGAAAATGTATGCGTGAAGATATGAAACAAATGAACTGTTATGAACTACCTGCTAATGTTTCTGATTTATTATATCACGGCTGTCATTTTTCACTCCACAACAGCTGACAGCCATTGTAGATCTGTTAGGATAAATCATACTCAAGAATCAATGATGACCGTGAATCCATTGTTGATTGTCGGAAAAACCCATCTGGTTCACTAATGCCCTTCCGGAAAGGAAACTGCCATCCTTACCTGGTCTGGCCTACATGTGACTCCAGATCGACAGCAATGTGATTGACTCTGAACTGCCCACTGGGTAATTGGGGATGGGCAATAAATGTTGCCTAGCCAGTGACACCCTCATCCCATGAATGAACAAAAAGGATTTAACACAGCCTTTTGACAAAATGATTGGATTTTTCAAGGGGACGGAGCAATGATAGTTCAGATAGATTGTCATTAAAATATTTTGCAAAAGGATTGCTAGAAAAATTCGGATGTTGGGTAAAGGATGATAGATCAGATGGATAAAATGCTGGTTAATAATAGATGGAATCAGGGTAAATAGATGTTGCCTGGATTAAAGAAGTGTTGAAAATGGTGTTACCCCAGAGGTCAGATCACCTTTTTCTTGGTGTGCATCAATGCTTTAGACTTGGGTATAGGGAAGAGATGTTCTCATAATTCCTTTTAAGTGTGACCACGGGTAGATAGAGTCATGAAATGCTCAACACAGTTTGGTGTTTTAGAAAGAGAGGGACTGCTATGCTGAGGGTCTCCAGGACTTGTTTGACAAAGTTTTTCCAAAAAGTTTGGAACTCTCTGCATCAGGTGGAAGCAGGGTCATTTAACATTTTTAAAGACAAAGGTAGTTAGTTTGTTGTAGGCAAGGGAATCACAGGCTATTGGGATAGATAGGAATGAAGAATTTGAAACACAAACAAGTCAGCCATGATCTCATTGAATGGCAGACTAAACTCAGTGGGGGTTCAATAGTCCACTTCTGCTCCTATTTCATGTGGAATAAGGACGGAACATCTAATTAGGACTTTCAAAAAGAATTGTATGTATTTAATAACAGTTGATAGGCAAATATGCGGGGGCGGGGTGTGTGTCAGAAATAGCAGATTCATATTAAAAGAGAGAGGAGGAATGTAGGGACTGGTTGAGCAGAGGATGTGGCAGTGGTTGAAGCAAATGGAACAAGACACAAACACAATGATGCACATAAGAAGACAGAAGTCTGTAGTCTGGATCAAAAGGGAGTGCTAATACCACATTTGTCAGTTCTTCTGACATACAAGAGGAAGAAGGCAGTGTCGCTCAAATAGCCTATGTGAGCTGTTTATTCCACCAAAATCTGAGAAAGTATCCATGACATCTGATTCTGTAACTCACTTTAAAACATTTTTTTGAAAGTTACTGAGGCTTTCTTTTGTTTCAATCTCAGGATGTGAGCATGGCTGGCAAGATCTTAAACTGCTGCAGTCCAAGTCCTGCAGCGATGTTAGGTCAGGATTTTATGGATCTTAACCAAGCAAATGTGAAGTAACAGCAGTACCTGTTCAGCCAGAAAGAAAAAAAAATTGGTAAAACTTGGAAATATTTAGCACTGTTGTGATCTGATCTTGTATACCTTAAAATGGAACTCCAGTTCAGACCAGTCATTTCCAAGTTTCACTGACATTTCCTTCTTGTCAAGATGGTATATTACTGAATGATGGCATTTTCATGCAAAGGGCTGCACCCTAGTCTTTCTCAGTGTCGTGCATTTAAGAGGTGCTGCTGATAAAGCCTTGGTGAGTTTTCACAGTGGATTCTGTAGATAGGACACACAACAGCCACAGAGACGTTGGAGGAAGTGACTTTTTAAGCTAATAGGTTGTGAGACTTTTCAGTGTTGTTGGATCCATACTTACCCAAGCATGTAGAGATTATTCTATCACATTCCTGATGTGTCTTATAGGTTGTAGAGAGGTTTTAGCAAATCAAGAGCAATTTTGCATAACCGTGACTGCCTAAATTTCTTACAATCAGAGTCAAAATGGTTTAATGAAAAGGAAATCATGTTTGGCAAATGCTGTTTGAGTGCTTTAAGAATGTAACAAGCAAGGTAGTTAAAAGGGAACTAGTAGATATCAGGTCTTTGGATTTCCGAAATGCATTTGATAACTTGCCACATTACTGTTAAATTTGCTCAGGGGTAATGACATGGTCGTCCAGTTATAGGAAGGATATTATCAAGCTGGAGAGTGTTCAGAAGAGATTTACCAGGTATGGAAGGTTTAAGTTATAAAGAAGGGGTGGATAGGCTGGGACTTTTTTCACTGGAGTGTAGAAGGTTGAGAGTTGACCTGACAGAAGTTTATAAAATAATAAGAGGTATAGATAGGGTTGATGATAGTTGTCTTTTCCCTAAGATGGGGAGTTTCAAGACTAGAGGGCACATTTTTAAGGTGAGAGGAGAGAGATTTAGAAAAGACGTAAGAGTCAATACAGAGAGCGGTTCACGTGTAGAATGAACTTCCTGATGAAGGTTACAATTACAATGTTTAAAAGGCATTTGGATGGATATGTGAACAGGAAAGGTTTAGAGAGATATGGGCCAGGAGCAGACAGGTGGGACTAGTTTAGTTTGTGATTATGTTTGGTATGGACTGGTTGGACTGAAGGGTCTGTTTCCGTGCTCTGTGACTCAATGACTATAACATTGCTGGCTAGGACAATATTTATTACCCATCCCTAATTGTCTAGAGGGCAGTTAAGAGTTAACTTCATTGCTGTGTGTCTGAAGTCACATACAAGCCAGATGAGGAAAGGATGGCACATTTTCTTCTCTAAAGGACATTAATAAACCAGATGGTTTGCATGAAAGATTACTGTACAAGATAAGAATTCATAGTATTGGAGTGACATATTAACTTACATAGACTACTAGCAAATGCACAGGGAAACAGATTTGAGATAAATGCGGAATTTTCAACTTGGCAAATTGTAACCAGTAGTGCTGGGCCCAAATTATTTATAATTTATATTAATGACTTGGATGAAGTTTTCTCTTATAAATTTGCTGACAATACAAAAATAGGTCAGAAAGCAAAGGTGGGGATGATCCGAAGAGTCAGCAAAGTATCGATAGGTGAAACAAGTCAGACAAAAATTGGCACATGGAAGATAGTTTTAGAAAATGAGAGGTTATCCACTATCGCAGTAAGGATAGAAAAGCAGAATAGTATTTGAGTGGAGGAAGGTTGAAATCTTCTGCAGTCCAGAGGGAGCTGGTCATCCTTGTTCATGAATCATTTTTGCAGGAAGAATAGAAAAGCAGAATAGTGTTTGAGTAGAGAGTGATTGAAATATTCTGCAGTCCACAGGGAGCTGGTCATCCTTGTTCATCACAAGAAGTTAGCAAACTGGTGCAACAAGTGATTTGGAAGGCAAATGGGGTGTTGTCTGATGACAAGGTGGTTGGCGGATAGAAGTAGGAACCTCCATAACAGTGCAAGTTACATGACCACACCTAAATTGCAGACAATTTTGGTTCCCTTACGTAAGGTAGAATATACACACGTTGGAATTGGTTCAGATGAGGTTCACTATGTTGATTTCTGATTTTGAAGGTGTTGTCAAATAAGACAAGGTGAAGGAGACAGGATCTACAGTCATTGCAGATATGATGAATATAGTAATATATATTACATATATACATTCACATCATTCTGATTTTTGGAAAGAGAATTTTATCAAAGAAGTAGATGAGGGTTTCCTTTAAAATAAATTCACAGTCCATGTGTTTGTCAAAATGTGTTGTTCAGCATTGTTCAGAAAGCAAGTGGCTGTGAACGCCTGGGGTGTGTTAGTGGGAAATTGTTTATACTGTGGTGGTTTTACGACAGTCAGTCTAAACATTGAAGGCTATTAACTTGTTTTCAGTTCAGAATAACCAAGGATTGATTTTAGTTTAGAAAAGCCAGAAATTGAAACTTTTTAGGACAGTTCAGAAGAGACCTGACTGGGGTCAGAAGAAATGTATTTTCTCTCCTTAAAAAAGTTGAGGACAGTTCAGTGAAAACACGGTCACTGCTGAAGAAAAGTTTAATTTGTCCAGCCTCAAATGAGGAGAGTTTTGATCAGAATTTGCAAGTTATCGTAAGCTGAGGCTGTTTAAATTCTCAGTTTTATATGTATTCATGTAAGAAGATTCCACAGTTCACAGAAAAGGAAATGCAGCAAATCAGTTAAGCAGAACTGAAAGATTTAATATAGAAGATTAATTTCTCTGGACTTAAATTTCTATAAATGGATGGCTTTGTGAAATAGGTTGAAAATATTATTTTGCTGTGTGTTTTAAGATTTTTTGAAAACTGTATTATATCTAAACAACTTATTTTTTGTCTTTTGTGTAATAACCCTCCGTCCAGTTATTGAAGTAACTTTGCAGTCTCCTGTGACTATGTTTCAGTAACTGACCTCCATGTTCACTGAAATTTGAAAGAAATGATCTATCAAGCTAGATTTCATTCTGAGATCTGACTTGTCCATTTGCAAGGATTTAACAGAGTCAAATAGGGGTTCTTCCAGTGATAGTA